CCCCAAAACCCCAAAACCCCAAAACCCCAAAACCCCTAGATGAACAGGGATGATTGAAAATAACTATTACTCAAACATTGCTTGTTCAGCTTGCACGATCTTCAGCTGGTCTTTGAGTACTCTCATAGTGTCAATAGATCAGAAACCAGACTGCTCAAATTTAGCACCAATGAAATGATACATTTTAAGATTTGACCTAAGATCATCAAGTCTTTTCAAAACCGTAAACTCCATTAGCTTCTGCATCTCTCTACCACAGGCTCTAGTGGTAGTGTATACGTTGACTATCATGGCAATTTCCTCGATGGTAATCTCTTCAGTCATTCTCAGTCTCTGAGCGATGCTCTTCTCTAATTCATTTTGGAAGACCTTGGTAAGTCACCTCTTTTGGAAATAAACACTGAGTATAAATCATTTCTCGTTGCAAGAGAACCTGTCTAAGTACTGTCTGATTCTTGGCTCAAAGTGTCTGAATATCTCAGCTGAGCCTCTCATTGAGAATATAAAAGACTTGCAGACATCTCGGAGAGTCTTAAAGTCAAAATCTGGGTGTCTGAGAACCTCCCTCTCAAAGAGTCTGAAGAGAGTGTTGCTGCCTTGTCCTGAGATGGAAAAGCACGCACTAGCACATACCATCTCTTCAATCATGAGCTGCTCTAATCGTTTGAGTAGATAATATTCACAAGTATCGAATATGTCAAAATAGCTTGTGCCTATCTCTGCGTATGTCTGGAGAATCCTGAGAATATTGAATGTTGAAATAGATTCATTCATCTTAGCAAGCAATTTATCAGCATAATCATTGAAGAAGCCTAAGGAGCCAGTTTGTACTAAATAGAGATTGTACCCAAGAGAAATGAAATCTTCAAGGGATACATCATCAAACTGTTCTGAAGCGAAGTTGTGCTCCATGAATTGATAGAAATCTTTGGATCCTTCTAACTGTCTTGCGAAGTGAGTCATAATTCTTATCAAATTTTCCGGTTTGAACATATTTTCTTTCTTCATCACAAACAATTCGAGGTTAATCCAGAGTAGAGATTCTGAGATACAGTAGATATCCATGAATTGGGCTGTTTTTACATAACTTTCTTCTTTAGAGAATGTGACTAAATTTCTACTGATTTCCTTCAAGAATTTCTTAAAAGTGGGATGGTTAAGGTCCTCTTCATTAAACTGGTCAGCATCTCTAATAAAGATGTCCATTGCCTTCATGAGATTGCTTTCTGATATTCCCTAAATTATTAACTTAAACAAGCTACCTCTTTGAACATGTTTTCCATGTAGAAATAAATTTCTTCAACTGATGTGAACTCCTTGATTTCAATAGTTCTGGTCTCAATGAGCTGCTTAGTAAAATCTCTAAACTGAATGGACCTAATATCTTCATTCTTGTAGATATCATCTAGGTCTCTTTGCTCCCACCGATTCTTGATTCCCCAGTTGAGTTTCCTGTCAGTCCTCTCTTTGAGGTCCTTTTCATACTCAGCTCTGTAAGGATTGTTTGATTCCCTTCCAAATTTTGCAAAACTTTGTTGGGCTCCTCCCTTTTCATGTCTAAAGAAAGCCTTGACTTTGGTCCAGGCATATCTCTGTGAAATAGGCATGAGTCCATTTGCCCTAAGCGGGGATAATTTAAGACTTTTCTTAGCAGTACTGGCATGATGCGTCATGAATGACCTCTGGGTCATGCTTAACAAGGAAGGATTCTTGCTATAACTAGCATAAACCTTCCTTAGATATATACCTCTGAACATCCTTATTTGTGGCTTTGCTTTAAAATTATAACTTTTAGCATAAATGGGGTTTTGGGGTTTTGGGGTTTTGGGGTTTTGGGGTTTTGGGG